TTATTTCAGTTTTTCCTCAACTCGTACACATTCACAATAAATCATTTTAATCATATTAAGTTCAAACTACAAAACTTATTCAGGAATCAACTTACTTCTCATGGACACATATTGTACATTATCTTCTAAATTAATCCTTATTTTTGATGGCTGAAAAAAAAAGATACAAAAATTTAACTCAGTAATTTTAAAACAACAATGCAAATGAATAGCATTTTATTCTATAATATAAAGGACTGGGGTTTTTTTTCACCCTAAAGTAATAATCTGGGTGTGAGAAAAACAGTCCTTCCAAACTATATCTACTTCAACTGTCATGGCATCTGACAATATCCACAGATTTAAATTTCTCAGGCTGCATGGGTGTGCCTAATTATGGAAGTAGTGAAGAGAAGGAAGGGTGAGAATATGAATATGAGAATTTATTACTGAATAGACATTAACTTGGTGACTGCACCAGGTGATGAGGGTAAAAAGGAATGCAAAGATCGTTAAGACACTGTCCCTGACTCTGGAAAGCTCAGTAGAGGTGAAGATCTATGTAAACTAACAAATGCTCACCCTTTGCATATTTAAGTATAAGTGGTTCCAAAAAATTTGCTCATAAACTTTTGTAGGCAGGCATGCATTCCCATTGCAATCAATGTAAAAACAGCAGCACTTCTAATAATGGGAAATAATGCATGCTGTGGATAACTTGAAACTTCTGTATTAGATAAATTAAAAGGTCTTTTAAATTACTGAAACAACCAGGAAGTTAGCAGTAGCAGCTACCAGTAGCAGCTCCATTATTAATGCCCAACCATTTTACCAGCTATTTGGAAGCTATAGTAACATCTGTAACACATTTAGAAATATTTCTTGCAAATAATAAAATAAAATGAAACTTTAAGATGAAACTGTGTAAACAGAAACTCCTATTAATCTCAATGCTTGGAACAAGGTGTAATGATGTCACGTGCCTCCAGAAAGACTGTGAACAGGTTCAGCTCTTGTCTAAGTGAAAGAACTGACACATAAAGCAAAACTAGGGTGAGTGAATTCCACAGGTGCTCTAAGGAGAGAATCGACAGGAGTACTATGGATGCACCCAGGCAGGGAAATCACAGAAGGATTCACAGGGAAGGTGGCCCCAGCTGAGCCTTGACAAGTAAGCCAATTTTTGCCTGAATAATAAACCATAGGGGGGGAAGAAAAAGCCTACTGGTGCAGAAAATGAAACAATCTAAGGTACGAAGGCACAAATTGCATGGCATGTTTTTGAGAACCCACCTGTGTGGCCAGTGTGAGAATGACTTGATTTTGAAGCGGGAAGGGCATGCTAGCACCACATAAAATCATGCTAAGGAGCTTGGGCTTTATGTCATAACTAGTGGAGAATGACCAAAGGTTTCTGAACAAGACTATGACACAATCAAGTTCATGGTTTAGAAATAAAAGTATGGCAGCAATATGGCAAAGGACTGGGAAATTGGGAAGCCTTAAGGCAGGGTGTGCAGTTAAGAAGCTCTTTGCTTATAACAGTGTTAACAAATCCTTGGCACAATGATTTCCTTATCATCTGATGATAGCATGTTAGCAAGTTAACTTGATACGAAATAATAATCCTGTTACAAAATTAGTTTGGTTGTTAGAATTGAAAGGAACATGTAGACCTGCTGCAGTGTACAACACTGGAGATGGGAATGCCTGCCTTGGGGGCAGGGACTATGTCTGGCTAGCTCTCTTGAACAGCCTTGACAACAGTGACTTGCAAACATGGTATCCAACAGCAAAACTCTTGAAGCAGACTTATTAAAGTCAGACATTTGACAAGTATGACCAACTGTCATTGCTAATTTTACATTTAAGCTCTCTGCTAATTTAGTATGAGACAGGGGCTAACTATTGCAGCAAGATTCCTTTTTTTTTTTTTTT